ACCCCCACTAAACACAAAGATCCTTACACTCTGCCTCATCCCCAAGAGGCTCAGCCAAGACAGAGGGGAAAAATGCCCTTTTCCCACTCCTTAAAGTAGCTCATCTCACTACAAATTATATTTTTCATGCTGCTGCTAACTACTCTCCACATTAATTGCAACTTTAAGGTCCTTCCTAGTATCTTTCCTATCAAGAACTCATAGAGAAATCTTACAGAAGCAGGGAAAAGAGGTTACAGGGAGGGGACGATGGGGTAGTACTATAGGAAATGGACAAAATGAAATTGCTGTGAGGCAGAGGCACACAAAGAACTATAAAAATTAAGGTTGCTTTTCCAGGGACCAAAAGTCACAAAAGTGGCAGAAAGCTGAGAGATCACATAAAGATGGGCAAGTCAACTCTGTGCAAGAAAAGCTGGAGAAAGAAACACAAAGGTAGTTTCCAGATTGCAAGATCACCATTCCATCAAGCAGAAACCGAAAACTTTTCCTAAGGAGGAAAAGATGCTTGGAAGGGTATGGAATGATTGCACATAACATGTAAAGAATATAATGCTCTTTTAGAGATGACAGAGGAAAAGAGTGGAATTGCATGGGTTAAATTCTAAATGTGACTTGAAAAATTTAGCTGTTTCACTTCAGCAGTGATGTCATTAATAGCCTAACTTCCAGTTTTGAAGACTGTCATGCTGTTAATCCCAGTTTTCCATTGCATGACTCTTGGCTGGTATTTCTTTGCCTGGTTCATTACACTGATTTTTGGCCAAGAACGCTTGTAGTTGAATCACAGGTCACTGAGGTTTAAAATAAATAGGAAAAAAAAATTGAGAAGGGATATGTGACTTCACTAGTGATTAAAAGGTTCTTGGTGTGTTCTGAGAAAACATTCAGGTCAGAGTAAACTGGAAACAGGAAAATGGACATTCATACTAAGGTTAACTTGGAAAACAGTTCTAGACAGAAAGCGTTATTTATCACAGATTTTTTTAATCCTAAAATGCTGTGCTTTTGTAGAGACTCATTTTAGGCTGAGATCAGTACTAGTGGATTAAATTTGTCATATGTCTTTCATCAGTAGAGAAATGCAGTGATTACTTGACTTGACCCTACATGGCATCCTTGCCTTGCTCAGTGAAGACAACCTGAATCCCCAAACTTAACTTTTCTTGCCTTAACAATAAAATCAAACATGCAAAAGAAGCAAGTAAAAGGACAAATGCTACAAAAATAGTAAACCAAACCAACCCGAAATGTCCAACAATACAGCTGCTGTTCTGTGATGGTTTTGTTCATTTAAAGAGCCAAAACAAATCTACTTTAGACATAATATATAAGCTGCTCCTAAGAGCAAGGTTATCTCCATTTTCAGTGAGAAATTCTAACAATATGATATTAAGGGTTATCAATTTTCAACTCATTTGCTGAAAACCAAGTGCTGTCACTAATAATGATTAGACCTTGATCTTTGAAGGATGCTAAGTTAAAAAAAGAATCCTGTGTTACTACATCCAGCCCATAAAGGATTACTCTTTTATTAGCGTAGCTGAAGGATTAGTAGAAATGTTTGTCTAATGAATACAGCTACTATATTTGAGCACATGCCTGAATAAGCTACTGGTCGATTGAAACCTATCTATTTATAAGTACTCCTGAATGGTGCAAAAACTATCTGTACTGAAGTATTACAATGGTTTTTGCATAACTGTAAATATTTTATTGCCATTCATGTAGTGAAATTAACCTCATTTGCCAGTCTTATATCTGAAACCTATCATGTAAAATGTACAGGAATGACTTTCCTACATCTAGCCTGATTTCCAGTCTCTGTAATGCATACAGGTTTCATGGAGAGGTACCTTTCTGTAAATGTACCTCTTACACCTTCAGAATTAACAGCTGTTTCTATGACAGACACAAGATTCTACATATGTGTATATGTTCATGTTTATACATGTATACACATAGACACACATATATATGCACAATAAAAACAAAAAAAATCAAATTAATTTATTGAAATAATTTTTGAAACACAAAGTACTTAGTTTGAGTAATCACACTGAAAACAACTCCATACAGTTGATGGCAATTTTTTCTCTTTAGAGTAAGATTTTTCCTATCAAATTCCAGTTTCTTTTTAAGTTCAGAGTACCCAAATTGCGTATCCTATCAGCTGTTACCTTTTCCCTATTTTGTACGCACTTCTGATATAGAGCTCTTCATGAATGCAGATGAAGAAAAATTAGGTACTTGTATATTATTTTAACTTGCATTACTCTGGAAATAGCATTAGTTTGTTTAGCTTCCCTTTAACCCTGAAATACATCATGTCCATCTGTACTGTCAGTCATGCAGTCACTGATATTAAGACAGAAATACTGAACAGAAGAGCTAAGCCAAATAATTTCAAAGGGACTTTACAGCTTCTCAGGCAGTAGTGCTCCAGAGTAGGATAAAATTAATACCTGGTTTTTTTCTGTCTTATTTATTTCAAAAACAAGAGGCGTAGTTTCAACCAATGTATGTACACATCCAAAAGCTGAACTTGTAAATGTGTCCTCTGTACTTGATATAAACCATACACCATTTTTAGATCTGTAAAATTATTCAAAGTTTTATTTCTTTCCAAAGTACTTTTGGTACAGAGCACTGCTTGAATGATGGGATGAGAGCTGCCTGCCTTTCTGAACGTACCAGTCAGTGTGGTGAAAGGAACATCAAGGACAATGTGACATGGAACACATTTACTGGCATGTATTCAGGATGACCTGCCTGAGTCAGTGTGGCCCCATGGGCCCTAAGAACATTCACTTCTGCTAATGAGTAATGTCCCAACCCAAAAAACCTTTCAGCACCACACCCAGCCCAACACAACTCCCTCTGGGTGAATCAGAGGGATTCTGATTCTAACCACCAGGGGTTCTAACCACCAGGGGTTCTAACCACCAGGGGCTGAAAATATGTCATAGGTTGAACCATATTAGGTCAAAGACATAATAACAAACCCTATTTGACCACAGAAATAAATTCTTTTTTATACATCATACTTCCTGGCTTTATACTCATCTTCAAAACTCTGAGACACTTGCTTTCCCTGTCTGGGTTGGTAGAAGCTGAAAAATTCTAGACTTATCTGTTTTACCTCCATGTCACACCAAATTAGTTCCAATGGCAGACAGATGTCAAAATAGGTAAACTAAACTTAAAAAATCAAAGACAAAAAAGATTGGAAAGTACCTGAAGTTCTACTGAAGAAAGTGAACTATAAGCCATTCCTGCGAAATATTGCTTAATTGAGTCCATGCTACACTAAGCAATAATCGCTACCATGTGCTGTATATAGAGCACTTGAAAATAACATAGATATTACAGAGGTTTTTTGTAGACGTGACAACTATATCAGGAAAGGACTGTTCGGTTTTGCTAAACTCTGGATGATTCTGCAGTTGTCATGGGAGTGATCCAACTAAGATGACAGATGCTCCCCATAAAATGGAGATCTGAAAAGTCTGCAGTCTTTAGGAAATTTTCCTTCCTCTTTCAATACTAACCAGATTTTTTGACAGCCAGAACTTTTATAGAAACATTGTCTTCATGACAATGGTCTCCTGGAGCTATTCTGAACCAAATGCTGCTGCCATGAGCACAGAAAATTAATACCATACAAAACTGAGGTGGCTTTTGTTCTGTAAAGATTTAAAAGGCCTCTGTGATGATCTCCAAAGAAGCAGTATGGGCTCACTTTGTACCTGAGGAAGATGAAAATTACACCAATACAAAGAAAGAGATAGCAAGTACATACCTGGTAGAGAGATTTACATCAGGTGTTCAGCCTCATGGATGAAGTGCCTGAGATTTTCTGGCATCATTATCTGTTCTGAAAAGCCAGTCTCTTGAACAGTGAGTCGGCTCCTGCCTGTCCATCTTCCACACCATGTAATATTGCCTGTACATATTTAAATTGTGTATTTTTAAGTCTCTGCAGACATCTCCCCTCTATTACATTAATTATGACAGGAAAACTGATGTGCTGTCATAACAGTAGTCATCCCACTCTTCAGGAACACACTGTCTGTAGACAGTAGGTTTTACCTCTATTATGTGAAAAACAAAGTTGTTTACATTCCATGCATCTGCTAAGAGAGGGAGGTTCAAACGAGGAAAACATCTGTGCTGAGAAAACACACATACATAGTTTTAAATGATATTTTCTTTTTCTTAGTGAATAAGGTTAAGTCACATAAAAAAATAATTTGAAAAAGACGGTAGTGGTGGCAGCCTGTTGCAAAACTCTCTGCCTTTTTTTTTTCAGCTGTGGACCCATCACTGTACACACCAGCAAAATGGGAACAGCTAAAGAAATTCACTCTGCAAAAACTTTAATGCCTCCTCCCTTTCTGGGCCATTTCAATGAAGAGGTGTTTTGGAGCCAGCTGTCCTTCACTAGCAGGTAAACTTGTTGCTAAGATGGTAATTTCTGTGGGGATCTTATGTTTAAATACTGTCAGCAAATAATTTATTCTCCATTCTAAGAAGCTACACAGCTTTACAAAGTCGTCAAGATGGTTTCCCCCTCCATGCATCAAAATAATATGCATTTACTGGTGCTTCAAATCCAATTAATTGACTTTTCTCTTCAGGGAGCATATTCTTACCATTCAGTAACAGCCCATACCTGCCCAGACTGTGCAAATCCAGAATACAGATAACCATATTTTTGGAGACTGCATCATTCTTATGAAGGGAAGAGCAAGCTAAAACCATGTAAGTGAGGAAATTATTTCGCACAGGTTTCTGGAAAACTCTGAAAAAAATCCAATTTTAAGCAGAGTAGTAGCAAAGATGCTTAAAAATGAAACCATGTAAACCATCTAGATGAAAATAACTCACTCAGGTCTAGTCAGATGTAAATATTTTAGATTAGACTGCAGTTTCATTGCTGTGTCAGTGGGAAAATCCCCATGCCTATAAAAAGCCCAAATGAAGTCCCAGTCTATTGCTCATGGAACAAAAGTTATGTATATTTGAATAAACCAATACTGCTTCAAGTAATATGTTTGTAAATCCTAATGCAACAAACAGCCTGCTACTTTGACTGTATTACAAGAATAACAAAAAAGATTAAATTCTTGCTCTCAGGACCCCACTCCCACCCTGTAATTAATTAACACCAAATTAAACTGGAAAGTGTCGGGACAACTTACCGAGCCACCTCAGGCCCCAGCCCTGCCCACAGCGGGCAGTAAGCTGAGCTCAGCTCCCACCTCTGCTGAGGAGGGATGCTTCTCCATCCCTCCAGCCCAGCACCTTCCCTCCTCCCTCAGGGCAACCTGGGTGGGGTATCCCATGGCATCCCAGTGCCTGGATGAGATGCAGGCAGGTGGAACTAATCCTCCATAATTGCCTTACAAATACCAGTAGCTCTCTTCCAAAAAATCTAGGGCTGAGGAACCAAAACACGCAACTTTGTCAGACAGCATAGCCAGATGAGAAAGAATCTTAGGCAGACTGAACTCTGAAGAAAGCTGACCACAACAACAGCACTGTACAGAAAAATGTTTATTGCAAGTGTTGTTGCCTGAGAACTGCTACCATTTCATCAGCAAAAGCAGTGGCAAAAGAAACATGTCATTATTGTCCTCCTGTCATGAAATCTGGTCCATATGTCAGCACTGGTCTCTCAGCTGGTTGCTCAGTTCCTGAAGTTCAGCAATCATGTTGTCCATAGCTGCCACCTCATCAGCTATCTCACTGTGAACCTCATTACTTGTTACGTCTATGAAAAGTTGCTGCATGACAAAAAAAAAATACTTATAAGTACTTTATAAATAAATACTTTTAAAATATTCATACAGTTTCTCTATTTCAGTGTAGAGACAGAATACAGGAAGCTCATCACCACTATACTGCCTTTCTTATTTTTGCTAACTACAATGGCATCTCTCTCTAATAAAAGGCTATTTTGTGGCTAATTAACAGAAGGTGCACACACATACTCATATAGAGACCTGAAAGCTGTGTCACACATCTGATATTCTGCCAAAGGGGATGAATCCTCCTGTGGACACTGGGCTTCTGTTCTGACCTGACTGCCTATTGTAGGAAATGAATAAGATAGTTTTATTACAAGCAGGGGTTCCATGGTTGCCTCATGCGGAGTTACCTGGAGGTCATTTTATCTGGGGAGTTGGGGAGCCATTTTGTGGCCGAGGACTGGTGGGCTGCTTACTATTCTGCTTACAGTTACCTATTGCTGCTCACTGTTCTGCTACAGGGTTGCTTACAGTTACTTAGTGTTGCTTACAGTTACGTTGTGAAGGCGGCCAGAAAGTATGAAAGGCAGTAAGACCAGTCTGGGCTCACTGGGACCAAGGCTACTGCAAGACCAGAACCCGTCATTTGACTCAACTAATATTGAGGCTGCGTGAGGTATCACTCCACAAAAACATGGGGAAGGGGTGACACCCAAACATACATTTCCCCTTTATTATGTAAAGGTAGAGTGATTCAAACTTCATTTGACTACATTTGACTACATACAACAAAAAGCCTACATTTAGAGAGAAAAACAAACCAAGAAAACAAAAGTTGCTCTGGAGTACATCTGTACATCATTATATCATCAAAGCATAATGGGACAATAAAGATACGCATACACACAAAAATGTTCTTAAAAGGCTTGAACCAAGGTTTTCAATGTGCCCCAAAACAGTGTTGTCACCAAAGAAAGGAACATCTTACATAAAAATAGGAACATGTTTGCTACAAGTACAGAAACTCTTCTGACTTTCAGCCCCAAAATCTCACACTGGGAACATGAGAGAAAAATTTGGTTCTTTCCGGCTAAGACAGCTAAATAAATCAGCATAATATAATTATTTGTTCTGCTCCCCCCCCCCCCCCCCAAGTTAAAGACATCTATTCATCCAGACAGCCTGGGGAAGTTTCATGCACCACCATTCTTTGGGCTTCGTGCCCCATGTTTCCCCAAAACAGTACCTACATTTCATGCACTTAGGATACATCTCCATAATCTTTCTCTTTTTCACAGATCCCACCTGGATTTCACAACTCCAAATGCTGCATGGGGGCAAGGGCCACAGTATGTGGCTGCCCAGAAGGCTCTATATAGAAAGAAGCCCATGAACAACATATTTTTGAGTTGCAGACTGTGGATGCATTTGCCAGTCCGGCACACCACCAGAGCTCAAATGTCAAAGATGGAGAGCCCATGAAAGGCAAGAAGTCTGAGAAGCAACATTGTTTCACTTGTTAAAAAACCTACTGATTTGTTCCAATTGCATGCACTGACTACAATATTTTGGAATTTTATCTTTTAAAAGTTACTTTCACTGTTCTTTTATTTCTTCTGAAATCTTAACTAGTGAGTCTGCTCTTAGTCCATTTTTTAAGTGCTTTTCTCTATTAAAAGAAAAAATGAAAAAAAATCCCACACTCATATTGACTCACAGGGCAGCAAAAGGAGATGCTACAGTCAAGCTTGGACAGGCGTAAACAGTGCTAAACTGTTTGTTCATTGGAACTGACAGAACATGACTGAATTTTTGAACTACAACACACTTTGAAAATTCAATATGACTTCAAATTAAAAATACGATGGCATCTTGGAAGGGATACAAAAACAGTGAGGTCATATAAACAGCTTAATCTCTAACATGTCAGTTTTCTGAGAAGTACCATAGAACTTAGAGGCAGCATTATCTGCCAATAGTATAGATGTTCTCTTTATTAGTGCCTTCAGAAATTAAGAGTACAATTTACTAGACTCATGCATTCCTCATCTTTCAGATATTGCATGATCTTTCATAATATAAACTATCTATACTTGCATTCTTATAATTTATGTCACATAGTCTTGCTTTCTGCACAGTAATACTCAGTCTATGCACTTCAAAAAACCCCAAAATCAAAATATATTTTGTGAGTCACAACAAAATATAAGTTGTGGCTTTTTTCAACACATTCAAAGTCATACCTATGCCAGTATCTAAAAGCAGAGTTACATATCCAGCTTGTGTCTGCTTATGTAACTTTCCTAGGCTTTTATCCTTAAAATTAAAGGACTTAAAGAGAATGAACCAAGTTTAGCACACTGATGATTAATCAAGACTTTGTAACAGAAGCACATGTTATAAAACTTATGCTCTATAACTCACAATCGCTAACCCCCCTCCACAGGCAGGAAGAATCCCTCTTTAAGACATGAAGTGTATTTTGAATGAAAACAGATGATTCAAATATGATGACAATTTCCAAGTAATTAATATCTGAATTGGTAGGGTAATAAGTTCTATCTTTTAATAAATAACTCTTTTTAAAACACTTCAAGTGACACAAAGTAGTCCTGACACATTTTGATTCTTTCTGCAGGTTTAGAGCCATTCTTTCTGAGACTCTCCTGCCTCTCCCAGGACCACTCACATAAAAAGTAGGTCTTTGAAATGACTGATTTCTTTCAAATGCTCAGATCGGTTTGCCCAACATTTTAGGCAATATTCTAACTTACTCCGAAATGTCAATGCTGCTCTTAAACTTATTTCAGTCAAAGCCCAGCAGGAAGAAGGGAAATAAAAGTTTATTTAAAACTGGAATCCTTAACAGCATAGAGATGAATATCCACCTGATGGTGCACTGAAACAGGCAGGTATTATTTGATCTATAATTGATTCAAAACAGAGAAATGATTTCTGGCAACAGAACAAAGATTCCTAGCTTTCAAACAAAAATTCCTACCTTTCAAACATTCCTACCTTTGCTTTGGATGACAAGCCACGTAAGTTGAGCCGAGCTGAAGAAAGTATCTGCAAAGCTTCCTGATGATTAGATTTGTTCTTACTGCATTTTATAGCCACTAGAATCCAAATACAGAAGGACCCCAAAACAAAAAAGCATTAGCACTCCAGCAATAATCTTTAAACAAAAACATTTAAAGATCTTGATACCTTCCATAGGCAATTTTTAAATGTAATATCCCCAAAAAGAAACATGAAGAAAAAAAGTGCCAAGTAATTTTAAGAAGATAACTCTTAACTCAACAGGTATATGTATCCTTCTTAAACATAAATATCACAAAACAGTGAGTAATCTTACTAAGTTGAAGTCTCATCCATCTCCTGACTGGTACATTCAATCTAACAACTTATGTGAATATCTGAGGACTGAGATGAACTGCAGATGCAGTTTCCCTTGCATTATGAAGTTGCTAGATCATGAAATTAATTGATTCCATGATTACCAGTCATATGTTTACTGACTCACCCTACACAATTTCTGCCTCATTCCAAGTATATTTTTGTCTGCACTATCAGGATGATACTCTCTGTTAAAGGACTCCCAATAGTAGGAATAAATGTAATGGGTAAAGGAGAATATTATTTTGCCACTAAGCTTAATAAATATTTGTTACACTATTCATGAGTAATGACATTTCTTTTCAGGTGAACATACCATGTGCAATCTCTATGGCTCCTTTTACCACCTCCTTAAAAGAAGAAACATCTTTCTCCCAATCACTTGATTGAATTTCACATTTATGTGCTTTAGTGAGACACTGCAGTGACTGTGAGGAGGAAAAAAAATTATCAATATGTGAGAAAACAAACTAGAAGACTACTTTAGTTTTAAGTATCTATGAAATTAATGGTCAACCTGGAAAATGAGTGTATCTTTACTATGCTTGATTTCCTGCGAGTTGGTGTACTGTCCTTCTCTGCAACAGTTAAGCGCCAGCTGTAACACAGATGTTCCTCACCAATATTGCATCTCAAGTATGAGTGGCATATAAAGTAACGTGTCTAATTCTTATCTTTTAAAAATCTGTCTAGACTGATGGATGTGACCCAGGTTTGCCAACTCATCGTAATTAAATGCACATGAAAAACAGAAAAATACTTGCATTCACACTTCAAATAGCAAATTTGTACCTAAAAAAATTATAACTGAATACATCAAAGCTTTCTTCCTGTATATATATTCTTGGCAATTAATATATTTTACAGACGCAGCTATTAGCTGCCTAACTGCTCTGGTTCTCAGTGTGAACAGGAAAAATAAATGTACACAATACGGAAGGAGGGTCCCATTAAAGAAAAAAAAAGAAAAACTTAAGCAGAAGAAATTAGTTTTTGCTTTAGAGTTTTGTTTTCTTTCTACAGTGTCAAAAACGTGAAACAACTATATACCAGAAGCTACATGCATGGTTTGGTTCAATGAAAACTCTCCAGTTATCTTTTTGAAGAGTTTAAACATCATATAAAAGAATAACAAATTTTCAGTGTGGTACATATACATGAGCACAATAAAGACTTCTGAATTTCTGAGGTGTCATCTCAGAAGCTTCTACTCTCTCTCTCCCACTGGAGTTTCAATCACTATGGCACAGGGGACTGAACCGCTCATGCTTTTGTAAATTGTAGCAAAGGTATCGATATTAAGTCAAACTAGAGTGAATTATTTTTTTTTTTTCATAACAATCTAGGTTATAACTGGTAGCAGTTCTGGCCAGCAGAGGCAAGAACTTCCAAGAGAAGGAACAACAGTTTTTACAGCAGTCTGATTTCAGTCTGCACATGTCTGAGTCAGAGTAGCAAATGAGGGGGGTTTTGCTGACAGATGTCAGGGAGGGGAAAGAATTCAAAGTCTTATGAGCTGTTTGTTTGCACTTCTGGAACCCGGATTTATCCTGAAAGGAAACAGTTATGAGCTGGGGAAAGTTCAAGGAACAGAGGGATTTCATAGCCTTGGTATGTATCAGCAGGAAACTTGAAGGTTGGAAAGATTCCTTGGTGGGAAAGGTGTAGACTGGACTGCATTCAGCATAGGGAAGAGAGAAGTACTGAATGAGGTGGCAGTTCAGATACACTGAAGCATGAGAGTAAATATATGCTAAGGTAAAGAAAAAAAAATAAAAACCCCACAAACTCAACACTTCAGCAGTTTTACACTCCTAACTCGTAAACCTTGTCTGACTTTGATTCAATTTACAGAGCCTTGTTGCGAATTGTATGTGTAGTCTAGTGATTCATATGGCATCAGTTATAGCAGCAGAGCAGAAAATTAAAAAAAAAAAAAAACCAACAACCAAGCCACTCTTTACAATAGCCAGGCATACAAGATTGTTCTTTCAAATGCAATGTTAGGAACTAAATTGGTTAAATATAATTAAACCTGCACTGTATAAGGTGCAGAATAGAAGGGTATGGAGTAAAGGTAAAACCCTATATTTGTAAGGAGGTACATGACACTATTAAAGATCTCTTCCATATCTTTGTCCTATGATGCCACAATATAGTAAATAGGGCCCTTTCAGAATTCATTGAACTTTTGCATTATAAATGTAGGTGGAAAACCGCAACTCTACATCTAGAATTTTTTTATAGACAGCTATATGCACTGAATATCTGACTGACACATGATGGTGTCTATGGCGGTGAAGCAAACAAATACTGGGTTTATAATTTTTACTTTATAATATGATATCAGAAATGAGTGATTATTCAGTGTTTTGAAAATGAATTTTTACACTGTAAATTAATGTATACTGTGGCTGTAGGCAGTTTTGCTCCCTCATGATCTGTATCTGTGGTACTGTCATACCAGGATATTTAGATACACACGTAAGCATACTTTAAGTATTTATAAACATCATTCTGTCTTGCAGGGGCTGTAAGCATGTTCCACAACCAGTCTGATTAGGAAAAACAGTTTAAGTCCTGTCTACTCTACAAATTGAAACCATGTTTTTAAGTCCGTTAGTAAAAAATACTGTGATGTAACCAGATTCTGAAATGATTACATTTATAGTATAGACAGGGCCTCTGCTCCTTTGCATGTCTGAGTAAGAATCTGAGGATATATTACAGGATATTGCAGTGTCTGTATTTCTGAATTTTAAGTAGGTCAAATCCCTTTTACTTCAGCTGTAAAGAAAAAGAGGGAAGGAAAAAAGGTAAGAATTGGAGATAGTAGCAATGACAAAACAAGGTTTTTCGCAGGGCAAAGCACAAAGAGACAACAAGTATGGTCTAAATTATTATAAGTTAAACCCCACAGTCATACAATTTGTAGGTCCAACCATCTTCCTAATATGCCTGACATTAAGCAACATGCAATCCTCCCATTTTCGCCTAGGCCAAAGGCATACCCTGCTTAGGGAACACATACTGAATACACAACCTTGTGTATTTTCAGCTTCAGTGAAGATGTGACAACCCATAAGTATTTTTGGAGTGTGCAAAGCTATTTGAATTTTGGAAATTTAATATCAAATGCAAAGCACACTCAACCATACAACAAAATAAACACTCCTAGCAGTGCAGAGTGGTTACTTTGGAAATGCAAACAATTTGACTCCCTAGGAAGCGATAAGGACAGGAGACAGAAGTTAATATAGCAACACCAGCAACAGGTAAAGAGAAACCAATGGTTCAACAGAATGAATACTGTTATTTAACTCCATTTTAAGCTAATGAAGGCCAAAACATTTTTTAATCTGGAAACTCTAACTGTGGTATAGAGTATTTTAAATGCATTTTTCCTTAGTGATTGCAAAGTAGAATACAGATGGCTTATGCTGCCACTGGATCATGCTTTTAAGACCCTTTTTTTTTTTCAGAAGCTGTAATATCTTGTCTCCAGAATCAAAGATTCCAATTAAAAAAAACCCCAAACCCACACCACCATTAGATTACACACATTAGATTGCTGCCAAGAAAAGTTTCAGAATACAAATCCAGGAGAATGCACATATGCTATGAGAGGATGCTTGAAAATGAAACACTGGGGAAAAAAAAGAGGGTTTTTTTTAATGGACAAAAACTGATGTAAAACATCTTGCTCCTGTTGTAACAAAAATGTGTGCTGTAGGAACGCGAAAAGCAGAAAATAGCTTATAAAAACACTAAAGCAAAATACGTCTGGAATAAGAATATAGCAAGTACTATAGTTTGTTAGAAAACAGAAGGTTTCTATCAGAAGTGTAAAAAGTTATACCTCACAACACATTTACCTTTTCAATATCTTCCCCATTATCATTCTCTCCATTTCCGTAAAGTTGGGCATAAAGTCTCCAGATGGCCCCATCATTTGTCACTCGTGAAGTGACCCTGCCCAAGAGCTCTTGTAATTTTCCCTTCAATCCACTTGCTGCATCTCCAGCACGATCTGCCACACCATCCACTACTGCTCTGACCAGAATAGCCAGCACCTTAAAAAAGTGGAAGGAGAGAGTTTTTATTTCAACTCAAATCAACATCAATATATATAATGGCATATTTGGTCCTTCCTAATGGTTCAGTAAAAATACAAATATAGTACCATATGTCAAGTAGAGAATTTACTTAGAAATACATTATTAGGGGAGTAATTCAACTGATTAAAAATCTCATCTATAAGATTCTATGTTGGTGAATATAAAGAGGTCAAAGACCTAAGGCAGAATTTTGGGTTACCTGAACAGGCTTGTGTGACAAGCAATGGTATAGGAATTCTGGCAGCATCCAAAAGACAATTTCATCTCATAGTACAGTTCTAAAAAGATGAGTAAAGAGGCTGAATCAAATTAATTCAGGTAATGGAAGACATTGTTGCTTACAGGACCTCCATTTAACTACCTGTAGAAAGTGAAAGATGTACAGTGGGTAAGATGGAAACTGAAATGTAACTGAATATCACCTTGGGAACCTCTGTTTATAATGCACTTCTGGTAAATTACTAGCCAAGTCAGTTCCATCAAACTCTTTTACAAGTACTCATTAATGGCCATATTTTCTGAGTCACGGGCTTGAGAATGTGGGATCTGGCCTGTGGAAATGCTGACCATGTGTAGCTGCTGGTGAACTCAACGTATGCATGTATGAAATGCTACATAATAACAGGTGTCCCTGGAAAAATTGTGAGTCTTCATGTCCCAAACTGGACACTGAAAATTAGAAAGCAGTTTCACTTTGCCTCAGTTCCTTCTCAATAAAAGGAGAAACTGCACATGTAAATTAAGACATGGTGAATTAGAAGAAAATAAAACCCAGAAAAGCTGTGGCTTATTAAGTGAGCAATACCCGTTCTGTGCAATGCATGAGACACAGAGACTGGTGAAGAAATAAGGATAAAACCAAAATGAAAGTCTAAAGAGGCATGCATTGAAGATAGGCCAGTAAAAGTCACACAAACACCTTCATACTGGTACTTCCTAACTTGTGTGTGTCTGTCATTTGGCAACTTTAATGTTTCAGCATTTTTGTCCATGTGATACTAATACTTACAATGCAATCAAATTAATAGCAATATTAATATCAAGAGAGTAATAAAATGAATGTCAACGATGACCTGTGATAGTCACAAACCACAGAAATATACCACTGCTCTAGCAAAAGTAGGATGGGGGTCATCCTCACAAATCAAGATGCAAATCACTGGCAGAAAACAATGTAAAAATTATGACAGTATCCAAGTATATTACACTTAAAATTAAAACATATGCAGTTTAGCATTTGTGATATGTAATTTCCTAAAACAATTTTTCTTCTATAGAATGACTGAATTAAAATGCATCCCAAAAAACAGTAAGTTTTTATCAGATACAGGAAGTCTTTGACAGAACAACCCAAACCAATCAAAAAGGCAGAAACTGTTATTATATGACAAACTGGCTGTTCTTTCTTTTATTTTCTAGTCACTTTAGATAATAGAAAATATGATCAACTATTAAGAGTCCCAAAGTTCTGAAATTCATATTATATTAATGATTTGGAATATGAGGGGTGAAACCCCATTATTAAATGAATCAGGTCTTCTATAATGATTTGCTAGCAAAACACCAACAAGTGTTGATATTTCCACTACTACAGCATTGTAATAAAAAAAATAAATAAGAGGTGTAAGAAAAATATTCAACTGTGTTCTCTTTTGACAAGGAACAAGAACTGGTCCTGAGGATTCATATACAGATGTATGACTTGTCAGTTTAACAAGATATTTACTCAAAGTCAAAAAAGTTACTTCACATAAACATCATGTGTAGTCATAAAAAGTTTTAGAGCCAATGATATTTTGTTTGCACATGAATAAAAAAATTTCCTTAGTCAGTAGGATTTAGCAACTGAAAAATTATCCGTATTCTCATAGAGTTCTGGCTTTGCTTACACTTTCATCATAACAATCCATCTCCTTTTTCTGTGTAAGTTTTAGCACTACAGCAATGAAAATGAAACTAGTATCAAAACCCGGATTAAAGGGCCCATTAACCAGTAATGAATCATTAATGCGTGGTTGTGCCCAGTTCTTAAATGAAGTTATTTCAAACTGCAAGTGAATTGTCCTAATCATCAAAAAGTATTTAGCACTGTAGCAGAGCTTTCCATTTTACATGGTTGTCCTAAGTGTTAAAATTTGTATCTTAGAAAAATTTTGAACTGCCATATATACTAAACTACTAAAGCAATGCTCTGTTACCCAGGATCTCAAACAAGCACTAGAGCGTCTTTTGTTTGTTTGTTCATTTGGTTTTTTTTCACGTTTCTTTTAATGAACTGGGCTCCATATGACCACTGAGTAGAGTTTGTGTTTAGTATGACATCACACTATCTGCATTCCTCCTTCTCCTTTGCTTTTGTAAATAATGTGTGTTCACTAAAAACTGAACAAAAGACACCACGAGACAAAACCTTCAAAACAAACCAAATAATTTATAAATGCTGTGATTGTCACCAGTTAATCTCATTCACAATTGTTCTCCAAACAACTCCTTTCATATAAAAATTCTCTTGGTCAAACCATTTTTAGAAGCTTCCCTAATACTAATCAAACTTGACAGTGCTCAAGAAAGAAGAAAACCCTCAGATACCAGATCCAAAACAACAAATCTGCAGTCTGTGAGCCCTCCCTGCACCCCTTCCAAATGAAAGGTTTTATAATAAAGATAATTGTCATTAGTGAGCTATTTAAAAGAAACAGAGCTCCAGAAATTTTTAATTCCTACCCTCACTTTTCAAAATCCCCTGGAACACGTCCTTGTGGCCTTTCATTAGAAACGGTTTGGCAACACAAACCACTGAAACAAGGATGTTACTTAATGTAGAGCTTAAGAGAAAAACTTTGCTAGAATCTCAAAAACATAGAACCGCAAAGTGGAACGCTTTGTCCGTACTTCTGCATTCGTATTCTTTGACAGCACATGATGAAGATTTGGTTTCTGAAGCAGTGCATCAACACAGCTTTTCTACCCACAAAATAGCTTTGTTATTCACTAAACTGCAACTTTCCAAGTAAAAACGGTTGAGTGCCTCACGCATGTGACAAAACGTAGTATGATGAGCAGTTGCAAAAATGTTTCAGGTATATTTACTACCTCATACTAATAATTCAGAGACTAAATTGATGATTACAAGTAAGGCTTTTTCCTTGGGTACTTTTTGGTGACTGGTCTAAGAGTGGAAACTAGAGATAATTCAGTGAGCCTTCGTATGTTATTACATACATACATAACATGTATATTAAAGGTTTTCCAGGTATATTTCTCAGGAGGTTCATGAACAGTAAAAGAAATATGGAAATGTGAAGAATTTTAAGAACCAGTAAGGAGGGAAGGAAAAAAGGCATGCATTTAACATGTATGTGGAATGCTAGGAAATTGAGACCTTCAAAACTATGTCCTTTGCTGTAATCTTTTATTGCATTGTTGCTTCTTTATAAAGAGCCCTTTAGCCTTACTGTGTTCAATTCTGTCTGCAGAATCTGCACATACATATCTTCAAGCCTCATGACATCATGATCTTAGAACCTCTGCCACAAGGATGACATTTTTAAATTACTAGAATAGCTTAGAAGCAAATTTTCCCAGGTCTTCTGTACTCAGAAGAGTGTGAAAAAAGACACCAATGGCCTAACAGAAATTCCACATGAAGATCTGAATGCTAAGAAATTAGTTATTTAAAAATATGACTTCATACTATTCTGAAATAAAATAGTCTGATGTAACTACAGAAATCAAGGACATTTCAAATTATATATTCAATTGCATACTTGTAATTGATGCATTCAGTCTCACAAGGGGTATTCTGCAACAATGATTATGCTAAAAGCAGTTAGTCACTGGCTTTCTGTTTTCACAAAGAACCAGAATCGATAACTCAACTTGTTTCTTTCAGTTTCGTGGATATTTATTTTATTTCAATTCCTACCTTCTTTCTCACCACTATGCCATCTAGCTTAGTAGTCTGTCAATAAAAATCTACGATGACTACAAATACTAAATATAACCTGAGAGAAGGTCATACTATGCTGCATGGGAACAAAAGTGTAGGTTTCCATGTACTCATGCTTATGATTTTACATTGCTAAAACACAATTGCACACGGCAGTTATACTGATGATCTCTAAAACAATCCAGTTGGCAAACTGGAGAGGCTTAGCAATTAATCACGATCTCTGTAAACAATCTCAGCACAAGTTTTTATTTTTATATGCTTTTTTGTTTTGCTACAGAAATACTCTTCTCTTCCTTGCAAGAAAATTGATTAAAGTCTTTCTGAAATTCTTTAATGAGGGTCTGAGGTTTTTCTTGGCAAAATAGTAAAATCCTTCTAATTGAGGAAACTGTATTACAAGTTAAAATGAAACCCATAAAACACTTCACATATCAGAAGTCAAAGTTAAAATTAGGAAAGAGAGCATATATATGCTTCTGTAAAAATGAAAAAAGTTAAATGAGAACAAGATGACAAAAGAGTTACACAACAAAAATAGAAATTCAGCGCAAGCAATATCCCCAAATATTTTAACAAAATATACTACATAGAACCTGATGAATAACAGTAACAGGAGTCTGTATCATCTAAAAATATTTAAAATGGGCAAATACATGTAGAAGGTTCTATTCCTAGTCAGCTGTCAATCTGTTTAAAATAATACAATACACCACCCCTAGAAATGCTATTTAAAGTAACAATTGAGAAAAAAATTCATTGAAAAAAGCCAACCATCTAAAAGACGTTCCATGACAGGCCCTACCAGTACTACAATACTGCAGCTGTAAAACACATTAATCCTTATCACTTAAAGACTATTTTCCATAGACATTTTTTAGTACAAAGAGAGTTTAAGACCTTTTAATGTTAGCTACATCAAATCCAAAAGATTTTATTAAGATAGAATGTTATCCTGTGCATGATTGGCTTTATAGTAGTAAGTACTGCAGTCACGTACAACTTGTTATTAAAAACTATTCTGAAAGAAGTGTTTAACATCTCTGCTCCCATGAACAAACGAGATGTTTCCACAATCGTAACTAATTCTATCTTTTCTCTTTATTCATCACTGGACTCAAATTCACAAGATCCAGGAAAGTTATTTTTTATGGGACAAAAACCAAAACACACGCCCGGGTTCCATGACCAGCAGCAGCTGGTTCCTCTTACCCTGGTACTACACACAATCTCCCTAAGAACTCGTAAGCTTTTAAACCAGATCTGTTAAGTTTGCAAGGGATTTTGAAGGTGTTTCACTACTACGCTTAAGAGATTCTTTGGTTTGCCTTTCAGATTCACCTTGCTGTTTTCACTGAGTGTACAGAACACTCCTTGGATCAGAACCTGGTTTCAGGCAAGGTAACATCACAGCTGAAGCTGTTGAAGTAGGTTCTCTGGATTTTGTCGAGAGCATACATTTACAAACACAAAAGTTAACTGAACTTAACTGAACTACAGTGAAAGATGAGTAAAAAACACCTATTTTATTTTTCTTTATTCTGGTTATTAAGAATCAATGTTATGATTTTAATGCATTCAATTTACTTTCAAAGGCTCATTTGTGGAATTTTCAAACACATGGAAAAAGATCACCTTTCTTTAAACTAAATAATTTATATTATTTCTGATACTGAGACATGTGGGAACAATATGGAAAGACGGGGTTATGCATAGTGTTTCATATAAAAATAGATCTTAAAACTGCAAGGCTCATATTTGTCCTTTGAAGAAGTCTGCAATCTGCAATCGGGATGCAAAGGTTTTTGGTTTTGTCCATTTTTATTTTAAACATTTATTCTTACAGTACAAATCTCCAAAAATTAAATCACTTGCCAACATAACTTCACTGGTATGCATACGGTCATTACTGATACCACTATCAGTAGCTATCAGCAATCTCTCCCTGTCTCAGAAGAAAAAGTAATGAACATATAGGATGACTAAAGATGAAAACTTCCTGACCTGTGTATCCTTGTACTTTTCTCTTAAGTCCATGAGCCGGTGATAAGCTTTAATTGCCTCTGAAAACTCTCCAACATCTGTACTGGTGAGAAGATAGTTCTCCCATATTTGCCAGTGCTCATAGTTGCACTTGAGAGCTTCTTGGAGGGTTCGAAATGCTTTGATCCTAATCAATAATAAAAACAGATTAGAAATTAAGATTCTATATTAAATCTTGATTATAGAAGATTTCTAGACTAAAATTAGTTGGCATTCTATCAAATATAAAGCTGCTTATTTAAGAAAATACATTTAGAAAACAGTGCAATGTAAAAGCTATTGTTCGTCATTTACAATATTGATAATCCCTTAATCTCTTTTGCAAATTACTTTCTATCAGTTCATTCAAAACAGTACACTCTGTACTCTGAACTATGTAATTTTTGTTAGCTCTCATAATTATTTTTGACAAAAATTCACCATAATTGTGCCATCTATGTCAATATTTTCCTTTCTGAATTTTTAACTGGAACCATGAGAAAACAATCTTACTCATGTTGCAGTTCTAATACACACTGAAAAACAGAAAATGACTGAATTCATGGCAGATGCAGAATGGTACTGACTTATTTCATCACACAGAAGAAGGTTACTTAACAGCTCTTTGTGATTTATTTTAAACATTTGCACATGGTAAACATGCATGTCCACTGCACAGAAGCTCCGCATTTTTAACTGTTTTTTTCCTTAGGTCAGCTGGAAGGTTTACTTACACTCTCTGCTACCTGATGCTGAGTTGCTCAGTACAAATGTGTCAGAGTAGTCCAAACACTATTAGGGGTCCTTCTCCAAAGGTGCTGCCCAGTGAACCACCTCACAGGAGCTGGAGAAGGTTTTATGGAATAAAGGTGGAAGGCACAATTCCTATAAAATCACTATCAAGTTACAAAGCATCTTTATTTTTTCATATGGATCCACCGCAGGCAACTCTTGACCATTCTCTTACTAAAAGAGAGAAGTAATGGCATTCTCTGGTAAGCAACATGCCACCTGAAGTATATGTTGGTAAGGTCTGTGTGCTTACTGTTTAAAGCTTTAAACATATTGCCAAAAGTTGCAACGAATGTGAAACTTTAAAAAAACCTTTGCTGGAGAATTGCAGTTATATGGTTCTTTCTAAGAGACCAAAGTGTACTCTCAGTAGGACAGTCATGATACGTAAAAAAAAGTCACAAAGGAATAGATTCCTTTAAATAAAAACTTGAAACAGAGTTCTCCTGGGTTGGTAAAAAAAATCTACATTGGGAAGACATGACAATAAATCTCTTCTTGATAAATACCATATAAAGATGGCCTGTTATCAAAACTTGCATTTCACTTCCTCTATTCTACTGCTTGAGTAAGTTGTTAAAAGTGCTGTCTCTAAAGAAAGCCCAAAGAAATTGTTGGTTGAATTTCAAAAAGAGGGTCCAAGAGAGTGTAAATATCTCAGCCAGGAAAAGGTAATATCTAACTAGTTGATCAGGCCATTAAAAGCTTGGAATGGCTGGGTCAGGGAAAAATGCCAATAACTGCCAATCTAAGCCCTCAATATTAAAAAAGTTACTAAATACACATGAAGAGAGCAGAGTGCTAGAACAAAATTATGTAAGGAAAACAGGTAATTTGGCATAGCTACAGCAGAACAGTCCACAGGTAGGATCTTCCCGAGTTCACTCCTTTCTTCTTTCTCTTCCTGATATAGACATAATGCTGATGAGTAAACATACTAACAGTGGAGTCTCCTCCACTGCTAACAGATTCACTTCACTAAGAGATTTTAGACCCTGATTTTGATAGATTGTATTAGAAAAGAACAGAGACCTGTTCCTTCCTCTGTGGATTTTGCTACAACAAAAGTTGGCATCTGCCACAGCTCTCTGACAGGCTGGAAGATGCTCTGCCTGACTGATGTACCCCACTGAGAAGCTGTTTCTGCAACTGTTCATCAGCATCTGCAGGATTAGCCTGCATCATCTCTCCTATCTTCCTAAAAAAGTTAATAAGTTCTCAGAAGGGCAGACGCCAGTAAGATGCAAATGTGAAATGTAATCAAGATACCAAAGGGATGGGATGGAAGATGTATTTCACAAATCGTCACTCTCATGATGCTAATAAAGCCATCTAGAGTCTCAAAACAAATCCCCTATGTATTTAACCAATCGTGTAATGATGGTATATCCTTAACCAGTTAAACCAACTCATATCCAAACAGGAAACAGTAGCTACATCAATGCATTATCCTGTCTTGGAAACCAGGAATCTTTCACCCAAAGGACAAAGGGCTAGTTGCAGCTTCAGTTTGTTCTGAGAAATCCAAGACCTAGATTTCAAGGACCTCCTGGTACCCAAGGAAGTTCTTCTGGTAAACCAAATCACAGAGTCTGTTTTCATCACAACTAATTTTTCTGAAGGAAATTCAGAATACAGAAAACTTGTGGAGTCTTATAAAGCAAACAATTTCAAAACACAACAAAACCCCTTTCCTTTGGGTGTTAGCAAATTGTTTGCATACACTTTTCATAAAAGTGTAAACATTTTATATTTGTCTGTTGTATGAGACTCTGCCAAGACTTGGTCAAATGTGCAATCCATGAGTGGGTCTGATTTAACAGCGCGGCTGGAGTAAAGCTTGATTTTTTTGAGGGAGTGAAAGAAAACAATTAAATATTTTACTTTGTTTTCCTTTTTTAAATCCTCACTCAGTTTTAGTTTTTTTTTTTGCTGGCAGGCTTGAAAAATAAGAATTTAAACTTTCACCACCACTCAGTTCCCCCCATAAATTGTTCTGAAATGTACTGCTATAGATATTCTCTGTTTTGAGAGTGAGTTAAATGAGCTCATACACGGTCTTGGTCTATAAGTGACTACACGAATAATCAAAGAAGTTGCTATTCTACTTCAAATACAAGCCACACTTGGATAGCAGCATGTAATACTGACATAAAATTTACTGTACAGTCCTATCCCATGTGATTCCTGGGGGGAAAAAGCACAGAAACATGCCCCCTTTTACTGCTTTTGATACTATATCAAATAGATTACAAGTTTTGTATGTATTTAGCATATTAGATCACAAGAATAGATTAACAAGAATAAAATTCAACCAATAAAGTGAAACTAATCACTCAGTATTTTCTGAGCCTTCTAGCAGATGGTCAGAAAAATTATTTTGATTAAAGATACTTTTATGAAACAGGCATAAGGCAATACATTGAACGTATGACATTTTGAACTTTGTAGAAAAGGAGCAATCAATCATGTCATCCAGGACAATGAACTGGGGATACTCAAGGCACTGATGAAGACAAAAGGAACTACTGAAAAGTTAAAACGAGCTCTTGATTTCTATTACTTCTTAGCCTTGTGTAGTTATTCTAACCCTTATTTTCTCCTCCCTCCTGCTCCCATTAGCATATCAATCTCTTGTGATATTACTTCCCATTATGTATGTATATAAATTAACCCTTTTTAGTAAATATATTATTCTTTCTCTTTTTTTAGTTTGCCTCCTGACTGCATAACCATATAAATTGATGTCAGATTTTGAATAGAGGTTTTAAAAATAATTTATCTGATTCTTTTGTTTCATTCTTTGGGGACAAGTTATAATGTGAAAATTCTTAAATAATAAGTTCTTTCAGGTAAACTTTTATTACATTGATTTGAAATCCAAAGAGGGAAAAGAACAAGCAAGCTAGCATGTGTGCAGATTTCCATCTGCTTTTGTAATACAAAAACCAAATTGTCTCGTTTTCCCTTAAATCTACTGAGAATAATATACTATGAAATTACATAGGTCTGAATGTACAGTTTGCTTGAAATGGACCTATCTTCTTAGCTTCGTAGTCAAATCAGTTTCCAATTTTATTATGAATGTTTTGCACTGGTTGTACTTACTACATCATAAATACTTTTAACAAGAAAAAACAGTAGAGAGAGGCTGCTACTTGTATAAAGTTTATGAAGCTATTTCCTGTGAAATGAAATAGTTACCAGTGACTTAACCAGGGAGAGGGAACTGAAGGGCTAAGAATTACAAAATACGAGGTAAGCACCTTATAAGAATAAAAACCCTAATGTCAAAAAAAAGGAAATCCCAGTTATTTGTTTTGGTAGCAGTATCTTCTAATCCTTTTGACGTACTTACTTCTGTTTTAATCTGATATAAGCAGTTGATAAATTGTTCCAGGCCTCAGCATTCTAGAATGATAAAAGAAATACCAAAAAATTTATGCACTTATATTGTGCTTACTTGATAAAAGTATGTAAATTAAACTACTATCAAACATTGATTTTGCTAATCACACACCCTGACACATATTTTCTACAAGGTAGATAAAATATTACATTGAAATACAACTTATTAAAATTGAAATACATAAATAAATATTACTACATCAACAACAATCAGGTATATAATAACCAATTAACTGTCTTGTTGTTGGAATACACTGTTATAACTCACACCAAGTTAGCTATTGCCTTCAGTCTAAACTGCAAACAGGTATCCTCTTCTGGATCTGGTTGAGAAGGTTGGAAAGGTCATTGCTGCCAGCAGCTCATCACTTCTCACTAGCTGGAAGCTACTTACCTGCACCACTCTCTGTTACTGGAAAAAAATGATCTGAATGTCCCCTAATGCATCTCAGGCAAACAGATAAAACCTGCAGAGGTACAAAGATGATTCCTGCCCGTTGCCTTACACTGCTGTAAATGTGAAGCCCCACCATTGAATTCAGCAAAGCGACAACTGGAAGAGATTTGAAGAACAGAACCTGAGCCCGGCATTGAAACACGCTCTGGTACTGAAGGCTATCCTCAGGCTTAAGGAGCACTTAAATCATGCTGGGAAACCTTTCTGAGACTTAATTCATAGAAACGGTCACTACATTGCTGCAGATGACTGTATAAAGATAAATTTCATCTCCATAACTGAGAGTCAGCCCAGCACCCTTTACTCATAAAAGAAATACCACTTAACCCACTGAGAAGTCAGTTGGCTTGGTCAAATGAATACAATTAAATGTAGACCCTAGAGAGACAAATTAATACAATTTTAGTATCTACTTGAAAGTAAATCTACTATACTGAACAAGAAAAAAAATAATCAATATATAAAATAAGAATTCCATTTAAATACAGAGTTGTCTGTATATACATTTTTTCCCCCAAGGAACTTATTTCATTTTATAATAAAGAAAAAAGAATACTCTGTCACCTTTCACTGCTCTCTTATTCACATTCCTCAAGAGAAAAGAATGAATAATAGTTTCTATCACATAGGTGGCATTAACTCTAAGCAAACACCATGCTGGCAGTCAGGCCTTTTGACAGAAGTATTGCCAGTTTATTCCTGAGATATGTTCCAGCTGACACCTCCACTATCGCAATCCACAGTCAAACAGCAATGTATACTTGCACATCCTGCATCCTGAAAAAACAGCTAAGCTCCGTTTCCCCTGTACTCATTAACTATATAGTTACAAATCTATCTGTCACACAACTTATTTGACCTTTTTTTTCCAGAAGAATTTGATTACCGAAAGGACTAGGTATTTTAATTCAATTTTTTATTTTATCTCTCTTTTTAGCTCTCCTCACAACTACTCATTCTCTTTTCTCTGATTTAGTAATTTATGCAAGTATAAAGGAATATTAACATTCACACACTCATATTTGGACAAAGTTAAGTATTGGGCAAGTATTTTTTTGATGCCTCACGACAAAAATATATCCTTCATGCATAAGTTTAATTTATTCAAAGGGCTAAGGCTTAAACAAGTTTTTCGTTATTGCCTTGCTTGTTTATAATGAAAACATCCTTGTTGCTTTTAGATAAACCATCTGAATTGCTTGTTCAAAAGTACATACATCTGGTTCCAATGTCACGCAGCGCTGAAATGCTTTGGCAGCACCTTCGTAGCCCTCTAAAGCAATGTATGCACAGCCCAAGGAAAACCATACACCTAGCTGGAGAGAAAAAAAATGAATGGTCACATATATAACATAGATATTTCTGCATAAAATAAATAATTTTGCCAGGATGAACGCAACTCTTGTCAATTTTACCTGGTCTTCAGCTATAATAGCATTGTACTGGAAAAATAATATCCTATATGCAGATTACAAGAAAACTTTAGGTTCAAGCTTTTAATAAATATGGATAAACAAAGGTTGACTACATAAAGACCTCATAACCATTTGTGAAGTGCTCTTTAATGGTGCATCTTTGTTTAAGAAGAAAGTCATAGCTATTTAGAGCTTTGCATATTTTGTTTTAACTTATGAAAAATCCATATTCACTTTATAGTATTATGATTAGGTTAAATGGTGAACACTAGGAAATGTATTTCAAAGAAATTCCATTTTACAGAAAACATCGCTACTGACCAAACATGAACATTTCAAACTTATGGCTCTATTTGTCAGAATATCAATCTTCTCGAGTTTATAATGCAATGTTTAGACACAGAAATGTACTTAAGCAGTGCCTTGCACAAGGAACAGAACTTTACCAGTTCAATAATCTTGTATTTAAATTCTTTAGCTGTTACAACCAAATACCTCTCATCCACACAGATTCAACCAGGGAGAAGAGTTCAGCACATCCCTTCTCCACTCCCCCTACTCAGGAAGCTGTAGAGAACACAGAGGTCACGTCTCAGCTTCCTTTCCTCCAAACTAGACAAGCCCCAAGTCCTCAGTTGCTCCTCATAAGACATTGCTTTCAGTCAGCCCTTTCACCAGCTTTGTTGCTCTTCCCTGTATGCTTTTAAGGACTTTCACATCCTTCTTAACCTGTGCTCAAGGTGAGACTGCACCAACACTGCATACAGTAGGATAATCAGCTCTTTGGACCTGCTGGTTGTGCTGTGTCTGATGTGCCCCAGGAACACAGTGCCCTCTTGGCTGCCAGGGCTCACTGCTGTCCAGTGGTAGGACATGTGGAAATGGTTTAAAGTTGCTCCAGGGGAGGTTTAGACCATTAGGAAGCATTTTTTTTTACTGAGAGTGGTCGAACACTGGAACAGGTACACTAGAGAGGTGGTTGATGCCCCAAGCCTGCCAGTATTAAACAGGCATTTGGGCAATGCCCTTAAAAACATGCTTTAACTTGGTCAGCCCTGAACTAGATGATCATTGTAGGTCTCTTCCAACTGAAATAGTCTCTTCTACTCTAAATAGTATTAGATAAAAGTATAAGTTACAGCAAAATAAATACGTATTTTCATAGGTCTTTAATAGCAAGTTCCTGATTTCCCACATGGTTAATTCTCAAAGAGTTGCAAATTAAGCATTACTACCTTTTTGAAAAGTTCTGTAATTCAAAAAAATAATTAAATCCTAAGTACATTGACAGAACATTTTCTGACACCATTATGCTCTTTAAATGTATACAGTCAAAACAAACCAGAACATTTTATAAGGTACTGCAAAATTGTTCCAGATAGTACTACCTACTGCAATAAACTCTGCAATTTCTTCATTCTAAATGCCAAGGTAAAAAAAACATAAACAGCTGTTGGAATTTTTTTTTGAGAGGGAAAGAGGTGGGGAAGAGGAAGATGGAAAAACAGGTTACATTAACTCTATATTGCACAACATACTACTTTTCAAGATGTCTTTAATGTTTATATTCTCTTGTGTTTGGGGGACTAGTTCTGATGCAAGCAACTTTGATAATTCAGGTTCTTCTGAGGAAACCATAACAAATATTTAAACACAAAAACATTACCTTAAAAAGTTTTGCAAATCAGGGATTTTACAGAGTTGAAGACAAAGCTGTTGGTTCATATGCAAGGAGCTTTTACCTCTACAAATTAATTGCAAACTCTGCAGGAAACATTTTTGTAGTTCTCTCCAGATTAATTTTCCTATCTCCGAGACCCAACTTAAAATCAGTAATATGATATCTGCTCCTGACCTATCTGCTATAGAATTTAAGTTAATCTGCTTCAAAGCTTACATCCTAGAACACAAACACATGAAATTCATCTGTCAGATCTGGCACCCTGGTGGGCAATCTTAATTATATTGAGAAAAGAACTGAACAAGCTGGAAAATAAAGATATCCTTTTGCTTTTGAGGGTGTACATGGATGGCTCATCCCTAGAGCACATGGATAAATAGGTGAAGATGGGATTGTCAGTTATGTTGGTCTGGGCAAACATGAAAATCTATTTTTCAGTATTGCTTTCATGATCTGTAAACTCATCAATCAAGGAAGAAATTACATATGAAGAGAAAACTATGTTTTTCAAATCTCAGAGGACAAAATTAACAGGAAATAAACTTTTAGTCAATCTCATTTTTTAAGGCTCTTTTATCCATCAAATTTCCAGAAGTGCAGCACTCCCACATGGCTGCTACCTCATTAACTCCCCTTTATCTTCCTTCTAGATCAGTAACATTCTGGACATGAAAAGGGGGGTAGAGACAGGAGCAATCAAGTATGAAATTGAAGGCGAGTTACAACTCTATAGCTCGGGATACAAGTTAAATAGTGCTTGCGTAAAAGGTGAGAGAAAAACAATCACTGCATTTTTTATAATTCTAATGAGTAACAGCAGCACAGTCTCACTTCTGAGCTTGTAATTCCAGAATCTGATTTGACTAAAGCTTCCATCATCTTAATTTTTTTAAGGCTGATGGTGAGCAGCTACATTTCTCAGGAACTGGCTTACTAATGCTTAAGCCTGTCAACTCATTCCTCAAGCAAAAGTTACAGCATGAGAAGAAAGTGAAATGATTCTTTAATTCTACGGAGAAAAGCTATATGAGCAGGTACCTAGCAAAAGTCATACAGTGACTGCAAAGAATGATAAATAATTTTATTTTCTTAATAATTTGAGGCAAGATATTTTGCCTGTGCATGAAGGTTGTGACTGAATGAAAAAAATGCGAGAACTGGACATGATGAAGGAGGAGATGAAAAGTCTCTGGGATGGGAAATAAGTCAAGAAGCTGCATGAGATGCTATGATGCAAACACAAAAAGCATGCAGAAAATGGAATGGGTTGTGCAGATGGAAAAATGCCACATGTAAAGAAATGTAAAGAAAATTTTCTGTATGATCAATTCTGAAGTTAACAGTGTAAAAGAACAACAGAACTGGTATGGATTAAAATTACAGGTCTCAGTAACAAGCAATGTACTGCATCTCAGGATACTTGACTGAAGTGGAGAAGATAACATGCTGGGGGAATATCTGAAGGCTGTGAAAGTAGAAATCCCAGAAAATAAAAGGAGATTCCAATTATTCCACATAGTTTAGTAAATACTATAATGGATGAAATTACAAGAAATTAGATATGAAGCTAGTCAGAAAACAGTATTTACCTTGATCCTTACCAGGATGATCAGATTCAAAATGTTACTACACAAAAGATACTTGTATGTATCTAGATTCACCAGTCCTTCAAAAACAAAGGCAACTCTTTTAATACAGAGGATGTTAAATTTAAGAGCTACTTAAAATGGAAAAGCTATGATAAAAACTAAAAGGGGCAGCTAAAAGAGTAAAGGTCTGCAGAAGACTTGAAACATTTAAGGTCAACACAGTTCAAGGCTTGAGGTCACTACATACAGTCATTCAAAAAGGCTCTAAAAAGACTAGACAATCATAACAATTAAAAACAAAATAAATGAGATTACTAAGAGTAAGAGGACATTTTAAAAGCTGCTGTGCTAGAAAAACGAGAACACACAAAAAGAACAAGTCTGCAGGTTAAATGAAAAAAACATGGTAGCTGGGTATAAAGAACAAACAAAATCACTCACACAAAACCCCAAGATTCATTGCCTTTGATCTACTATAGTAATGAAATGGTATTTTATCATCCCTTAGATATCTGGAAAGGGAGTATGAATTGCTTCCACAATATAAGAAGTACAGTGACTCTTTAATCATATATTTAGGATATAGAATGAACTTCAGCTGGGTTTTTTTGTGGAAAGAATGGTAAGAATTCCCTTTTTATTGGGGAAGGCATGAAGACGGCTTTCATTTTAAGCTTCTTTGGATAGGATACAAAATAAACAAGCATCTCAGCAGAATATTTCTCAGTTTTGAGCCCTGTGGGGCATCTTCTGCAGCCCATTATTATCTGGAAGTCCTCTTGATTTCAGTGAAGTTCCTATCTGAGTAATATATATTTTATTGGCATTTCCTGAGTCTGTAACAAAACCGAAAGACAAAGGAAGCATTTTTGGTCATTCTGGTTTCCATTCTAGAGATGTTTATAACTTAGTTGGAGTTCATTTGAATAAGAGTAGGACTCCGATTCATGTGAATAAAATACATCATTGAAATAAAAAAAAAAGCTTCATGATAAATTATTTGAAAGGCTGGAGGCCTTTAAAATTTTTCTAAAGCAGAAGTCTAGCAAGTTATGTGAAACTCAAAACAGCAGTTTCAGCAGTGTTCTTTGGAGAGCAAAAAGGAGGAATACCCTACTTTTACATGGACCTGGAAATGGCTATGAAGAGCACATTTCTATACATAAAAACCCACAAAGCTAGTTAACATCTCAAGACCTTCCATGGGGTGAACCTTACTGGGGTGGAATATAGTGGCTGAGAAACTGAAACGAGATTACAAAAGATGTCTGCAGAAAAGCTTACAAAGGATCTGTCAAAATAACCAGCTTCATCAAGAGAACTCTTTTGACTGCGGTTTCAGTTTTGACGCATTCCTGTAATAAAAGCTACTGTCATCACAAGTGTAACACAATGCTTTTCAGTGACTCCAGAACAGGACAGACCAGAAAACTTAAAAAGATTTCTGTGAAATACAGAGATCAGAGTTTGTAACTCAAAGCCAATAGACAGAGCAAAGGATAATGTCATTATAGACTGCACAGCGTTCTTCTTGTAACTATTCCGCTTGACACTTGTTCATCATTTATTTGATGGTAATTACTAATTTTCAATGATTTCATCTTTTTGAAATAGAAGAGGTGAACAGGCAAAGATTTAGCTGCATGTAAGGACCTGAATGCAAGGATGTCTTCATTTCATGTTACCTTTTTTGGCCAGGCTTTCAAGTACGCAGTGAAAAATTTGCTAAGAATAGTAATAAGCTCTTATTTTGACAACTGTGCACAGAATTGTCTTTTTAAAAAGTATCATCATTCAAAACTGAACACACTAAAACTAAGCATCATTTCCCAACCTGCATAGGGTTAATCTGTACTGAACGTTCAAAGCACTCCACACATTCCCTGAATTCCCTGTTTCGGAGATGAAGGAGGCCTTTGGAACGCTGGGCGCGGGCGCTGCGGTGCCTGGAGAGCTCCCAGGCCTTGTCGTAATACTGGTGGTCTTTAAGAACATCACCAAGCAAACAATATAATCCTGGTGTTTCCTTTTTCTCTAACTCCCGCCTGAGTATTTCTTCTGCCTGTTAAAGAACAAAGAGAAATCAATTAATAATGAGATTATTTATTTTCAGTTACTTACCTACCTGAGCCGATACTGCTTTAGCACCTTGCAATCATCAGTTGACGATTAAGAAGTAGGGCTAGTGAGGAAATAGTATCTTCATCCAACATAGCATCAAACATGAAGCCTAGACAGAATTTGGTTCCAAACTGATTTTTTACAAAAAAACAACAAAAAAACCACTTCAACATCAACATATTATGATGGCTTTTTGTTTAACACACCAAGGCAAAGTAAACCATAAAAAAAAAGAAGCAGCTTTCTCCTCTTTTTAAATCTTAGGTATGTATTCTGTCCCAAGAGCAAACATCAGTCCTGGACATCAAACCTACACCTACTTCATAGCAATGCAGTATCAGCACCATTAAGGTATCTGCAATCCTAATAGTTTATCAGTTGTGTTTTTTTCATTCCCTAATAAGTACTCTTGCAATGACTCTCATTCCCTTTCCTCTAATTACACTTTTCTGAAAATAGTGATTTCCATTCTATTACATCTAAAGACAAATCCACTGTCATACTGTTGGTTGTAGAAATGCTACTCTTTTACACAAGATGCAGAAGTTATAAATTCATGTAGTTATAGGTTTATCTAGTTTGAGATAAAATATATTCAATATATATACAACATTATGGAAAAGAAGACACAAGCTGTGTCTCCCAGACATCTATTATGGGCTACAACTAACTTTCAAAAGCTCTTTATCTCAGGGCCACCATCTCGTTTTAACAATAAAATTATTGTTTCTCTTCTAAACAAGAGACAATCTGCTTTCTGTGGCTTTTTGAAAAGACAAATACACTGGGACAGATGATCTGTTGTCTAGATTGAACTCTTACCTCAGTCCCCTGCTGCAAAAATGTAACATACATAATTAAGATCAGTATAATTTTTCTATTAGAAAAGATCTACTTGAAACACCTAAACCAAGAAGGATCCAACACAGCCTACCACAGAATTAAAGTTCAACATTGTAACACGAGTCATTCTTCTATCATATCTAGTTTATCTAAAAGGAAACTTGACATCATCTCTGCATATAAATTATTACTGCTTTTCTTATTTCTGTAAGAATTGCTTTCTTTGACCTTCAGAAGAACTCTAGAGAAGCAAAATCTCTTACTCCAATTGGTAAAATTCATCAAACCTGTACAAAAATCATCTTTAGAAAAATGCCCTTTTTTTTACTTTGTTTTGAAATATTTAATGCATAGTAATTTTAGCATCTCATTCTCATTCTTACTACTACTTTTGTTAAATAAAGTAACAGTAAAGCCTACAAATATTTAAAGTGTACAAAAGTGAAGAAGGGATGTATTGTTCAGATTCCTAAAAGAATCTTAAAACTAGCAAAAATGGAATCCCATTAAGGAGAAAATTGGTGGTTGATTATTAGGAAAATAACTTGATGGTAAGTGCTTTTAAGAAAGCCAAAAAAACTATTACTTAATGTTTAAAATTAGCCCAGTCAAAGCTCTAGAAAAATCTCCTCTAACTAGAAGAGTGTACTTACAGAATCATAGAATGGTTTGGGTCAGAAGGGACCTCAAAGATCATCTAGTTCCAACTCCCTTGCCATGGGCAGGGACATCTTACACTAGACCAGGTTGATCAATGCCCCATCCAGCCTGGCCTTGAACACTTCCAGGGACTTGGTTAAAGTGCAGTGTACTCCCTCTTACCTGCCTCCATTAGTTGCTATGACATATTAATAATAGACAGATTATTTTTTTTCTGGAGCAGAGAGAGTTGTGTGCTTTATAATTGCAGTAATCACATTAGGCACCAAAGGATAAGGTGGATTTGTTTCCCCTTCAGATAAAGAAAGAAGAATGAAATGTTGCTGTGTAAACAGGAGATACAAGGTGAAAAGTGCATTGCACGCTGCTTCTTTGCCACTTCCTCTGCAGAGCACTCCTAAGCTCATGTTGCTATTCTGTGGCAATGCCTAGACTGGAAACACAATCATTCACTAACAGTATTTCACATTTAAGAACATAAAAATGTCATGTTCTGGTCTAAGCTTACAAAAATTCATTGCCAACATAAATATTTCAGCATACAGATAAAACAGAGAATTAAATAAGCAGAAGTCTGACTTTTTCTTCATCTGATTAGCTATTCTGATCACCTCTCTGGCATGTTGCAAAGATTTTTATTACTTAAATCTTTAAAGGCTAGTACAAAGTTCATAACTACAAACTAAAAAAAAAACCCAACAAAACAAAACCCTGTACTATAAAAACATTTGTCTTCTGCAAGAACAGATAATACTTTAAAAACAGGTTTATTCTGTTTAGGTTTTTGTGGAAAAAAAAAAATTCCTTTATCCTAACTTTGTAGTAAACTATTTTCAAAAAAGCACATTTGATCTTTGATAAGAACCCTGCTTCTACAAAAACAAATCTTAACAACAAATATTATCAAGAAACATTTTCCACACAGTTCACACAATATACATAAAAATAAATATAGTAATTTATTCTTATCCATTAAACATGCATTAATGATTAATTGGTATATTTTATAACTAAAAGTTATATCTAAATTTAATAAGAATTGATACAAAAAATTATCCATTAAAACATACCTAAAATGAAACCATGAAGATGTATTTATAATACTGCTTTTACAGAACGGTCTGCACCAGAATGGATGGGATTCAATGCTTAGTTCAAATGTCACGTTGATTTAAATATGAGAAAGATTTAGGCGCTTATCTTGCCTTCTGGACTACCATGGTTGGCATGTGAATTGAACTAGCAATGCTTCACAAAAATCTCCACTCATTGAAGAGGGGTCTAGTTTAAATAAAAGGTGGTGCCTTTTTATTACTCACTACACAGACTCCTGGAAACCAAGTTCAAGATTCATCCTCCATTTGGCTTCCCAACCATAAACTTCCACTTGCCATCCCATCCACGTGTTCCCATGATTTTATTTGTTTCCTAAAAGACTCTCCTAGTCTCTCTTCACAGATCTACCAGTTCTATTATTTGTCAATTCATTCCTTTGCTAGTTTTAAGTATTTCCTAAAAAGCTTTCATTTTTTCTGCTTGCACATTATGTAGTTGGCTAACAGAGCAGTAGCATGAAGAAGCAGAAAGATGAGCATGGATAAAGGTAGCGACAGAAAAGGAAAGCTCTTTGGTTTTCATTTTATCTTCCCTGTAGCTTGACCTTGGGCAAGACATTTACTCTTCTTTCTTAGCTTTGTAGTTACATAGAGGAATGCAAATCTGCCTTCTATGACTGTTATGGTATGTAGTGGAAATGAATCCAATTTCTTGAAGAGCTCATGCACTAATAGTACTACTTCACATCTGGGAAGCCATTCCTGAATTTAAAGGTGAGCTTCTGAGATCTTGCCATATTGTGTTTCCTCACTCAAATCTTTTGAGATTATGTGTGTTATGTCATAACACGAAAAATAACCCTGTAGAACGTGGATTGCTGGAGTATGTTGGTCTAAAACCAGACTGCATATCATGATGTATACTCTGATGAGATGAAGGGACAGGGATAGGGCTGAAAATAGTGTTGTAAGATGGAATACCCAGATGATGAAAAAAGGCAGATCTCATGCATCTATCAGAGGTCAGCAGCTACCATGCAATAGAGTTCTTGCCAGGGACAAAGACCTCACTTTAAATGGAAGAACTGAAAATTCACATTTCTGGTTCACCCTTTCTTTAGCAGGGAAATAGTACCATTTTCAGTGTATTATCCATTTCCAGTGAGGTGGAAGAGATCTCTTACACCTTAACCAAATAAAGTTGTATAATGTTAATAATACTCTGGAAATCTCTGGGTTCCGCTCACAACTAAAAGAAGGAAGAGGGACACTTTTCAACACTAGTCCTCACTACACACATGGAGATGTTTCCTTTTGCAACAAGTCTGTTAGCAGAATACAATGAATAAACAATATGAGAAAGCCACAGCAACTATCAACATTCAAATTTTATAATACTTTTTTAGTTCTTTTTCTGTGCCCTGTTTCGCTCATCCCTTGGCACTCTGCTACTCTTCTGTTGACTCATGTTATAATATTAGTTCCTACTAATTTTGTTCAGGTTATGAAACGAGTGAATATAGAGCCATATCTAGTAACAGTAACAAATCCACAAAAAAGTTTGCTAAATGTAGGCGACATCTTACTCTGCAAAATTTGTACTGCTACAGGGTCCTGTTATAACCAAATGAATTATGCATTTTCCAACTGCATCACATGGGGCTTCACATGGTCTTATATATTTGCTCTGTTTCTTTATCAGTGGATAATTCAAAAGTAGGAGGAAAGAAGATATTACTTGGATGTGTAAGTACTCATCAAACACATTGATATTGTTGATATCTGAATGTTTTGTTAGATGTCTCAGTATTTAAATTCAGGTTTCCTACATAAAAGAATTTGTGAGTGAAAAGCATACAGAAGTTTATTAAATAGAGTTTGTTCTTTTGGGTAGATATATGCTAAGCTCATTAATGATATGAACGTCCATTGACCAACATATTGCTCCAGTAGATTTTCATGCATTCCTACAAGAATAACTATCACATTTAAAAACATAAAAACATTTTTGATAAATATAAGCAGTTCACCCTCTGAATGTTTTTGAAAAAGAAGCACAAATAGTCACTCTCCTTGTTGCACAGCTACATGTTTCTAATTTTCTGTCTTTTTTGGTTTGAAGCTCCCTTTCTTCCAGCACTACTGTTATTTAGTACTTACATAGCATTTTCTGTTTTTCAAAGCACAGCACAATCCCTCATTTTGAAAGCATTTCTAAGCAGTTTCCTGTGTCAGATATCCTGTCCTATTCTCTGAGTGCCATTTTCATAACTCCCTAAGGGCAGTTTGTGAATGTAACTGGGACAGAATGCATTTCCAGGAAATGGAAAATATTGACCTCTATTTCTCCACTGTACCGAGAAGATTGTGATATTAACATACTGTCCCCAAGGCATGCATAATGTGACACAGAATTTGCCAGCAAGACATATCTGTCAGTTTATAATGACCAAAATCTAGGCTTTGATACATGACAATTAGAAAAAACGTATGAGACACTCTGCTTTTTTTATATCTCTCTATTCATTAAACTTATGTTAAGCATAGTCTTTGTGCTTATGGTGTCATAAAGGTACACATACATTCATATATTTAATGCTACCATATACAAACAGGGAGAAAGAACAGAAAAAAGAAAAAACATATTTTTGTCTGAAACTGAATATTTCTGAAATCTATATGAATTCTGAAAATGTTGCTTGATAGCTTAAATTCATGTTACAGCCTTTCTGTGTGAGAGGTTGCACCAGAAAACGAGCACAGTTAAAGTTACATACAAGTAGGCATTGCTTCCAGGTATTATTTTCCAGAATCTTCCTACCATTGTTCTAATAGTATCAGAAAAATAATCAACAATAAGAACGTTGATACAGCCTGCTACCAGCATTTTCAAACAGTTATGCCACTGACACTTAGAGTGAGGTGCTGGCTTTACCTTATCTTTGTTTGGCTCTGACCACACATAGTGGTAGCAGTGTTAAAGAAATGATGGAAAAGTTTAGGACAACATCAAAACGGACTTATCAAAATAAAGCCTTTTAATTCTTTTCTCAAATGTTTGATTCTGTAATTTGAATATATTAACATAATAAAGTAATTAAATATATCAAGCACTGATGTTATTCTATTTAAACTGTTTTTAAAAACTACAGTTTGAAATGGAGTAGGAAAGAAAATGAATATCCTCTTCAGCCAAAGTTTCAAGATCCCATCATGAATGACAGCTACAGCCTTCCTGAAATGCCCACACTACACCTTGCTGTCTATCGGTAATACTTCATTTAATTGTCCTTAAACATTTTCAAGAATCACTATCACAGTCTTCTTGCTTCTCAATTTATTTCTTATTTACCAACTTCTGTTTCATGTGGTTATTACTCCAGATAGGTTTTTTGGCATTCACCGGTTATGACAAGTTCATATACCATGTGTCTACTTATCCTAAGCACACTTTGCTCATGATAGGAGCAAAGTGTAGGAGTTGTAGGAGTGTCATTAGTGATGGCTAAACCCTGACAGTCCTTCCTCCTTCAGATGCTATTTCAAGACAGGATCTCAGTTGTATAAAACATTTTTCTTACCTTTCCATGTTGTCCTGCTCTTTCATAGCAGATTACTGTATCTTCCCACATTTCCAGTTCCTCAAATATTTGTAAGGCAGAGCTGGTGCATCCCAGGTCAAAGAGTAAACTTGCAAGCTGACGCTGAAAGATAAGACATTCCAGGTAACTGAAAATAGGTAAGTAAATACTATTTACATTTTAAAAAGTTGTTAGAGGCATTTCTGACATCAACAGCAAGGAGCAAACGGATAATATGGAATTATACTCTTCTGCCCAAAAGAACAATTAAACTTCAAGTTGGAACCTCAGTGTATATACTTCAAAACCCCCCCACCAATTGAATAATAATTGTTGTGATTTGAACAATTTAACAATATAACACAAAAATGGAAATGGGCATGGCAAGAATGAATTGACAGAGATGAATTTCCAGCCCTTAAATGAGGCACACGGCCCATGCGGCTGGAGAACAGCTGCTGCAGGACGTTGGGAATGCTAAGAGTGGGAAACAGAGGCTGAAGTAGGGAACTAAAGCCACTTCTAGCAATGCTTTGTCATAGTAATACATACCTGTGGAAAAAGAGAGAAAGGCTCTGAAACAATTTTGTTCGGTACTTGTGAGAAATCTGTCCCAAGCAGCTACTGCCAAAGGGTGTTAATTTTTTAGCCAAAGCAATATTGTATTTGAGTTCAGGTTCAACTCCCTAGTTGAATTTTCCCCACAGTTAAGCCAGCCTCTTTGTTATTTCAAATTCAGCAATTATTTCAGTGTACTTATGAAAATAAATGAGTTATCTTTTCAATTGAAAAACAAATAAGGCATGATTTCATGACTTAGAAAAGTTGTCTTTGGTCTTTATTTTTAAAGAGGAGATTAAAACTGCAAATAAGTTTTCACTTTTGAAGAAAGGGTAATTTATTTACAATGTATGACATTTTTGCAATTAGGTTTGCAAAAATAAATGGGAGCATCCTGTACAAGGGCAGCTATCTATGCTGCGAGATCCCATACAGTTAACCTCTGCAGCGGTTTTGGTGATCCTGAATGGATTCTCTGAAATTCTCCACAGATGCAATGGACCTCTCTTTATTGACTTGGTTCAGCATCTGTTACAAATCCAAGGAGTTACTATAGGGGAATAGTAACTTGTATTAAAAAAAAAATAAATAAAAAACCAACAACTGGCTATACCTCTTTGATGTAAACATGTAACAAACTCTGAAAACCTGTTTGTTAGCTTGACATTAATCACTTAGGAAAAACCAACATTTGTTAATGTCTAGAACTAAATCTCATTAATGTTTAATTAAATTTACTCAGAGTTAAATTTGGTAAAATATATATAGGCAATGTGTCTTCATTACTATGACTAGAAGACTGCAACCATCTTTCACTATAAATCCCTATTTTAAGCATTTCTATCTTGGGCTTGGAAAACTGGCTTGGACTGAAAATGCCACTCTGACAACTGGAAATGAAAACCACATTTGATAGTTTTACTGGAAGTGTCTGTTGAAAGGTTACGTAGAATAACTTGAGAATGCTTGGAGAAGATATGATTGCTTAAAACAAGATGTGCTGAGATTAGAAATCAAAACCGAATAAAACACCATTAAAAGTAAACAACATGAATACCTTTGGAGGTATGAAATGTAAACAGTTTTCTTGAGTTTGCTAAATACAGAATCATCATATAAGACTTTATTGTGTAGATTTCTGTTCTAGAAAGTCCAGATAAACAATGTAGTTATGGGTAAAAAAAATCCTGTCAGCAATAGTAAAAAAGGGAATGTCTCAAAAAAAGAACAACTCAAGTTGTTCTTCAGTGTACTATTGACTCCTAAATTTGGTTGCTTTCACCATGATCCACTTCCTGAAGTGAACTTTAAAAGAAATAAAGATAAAAGTAACACTATCATTAGTAAACCAGTAATAAATAGTAAGGCAGTGGTAAGATTATTTTAATAGGAGACATGTTGGAAGCTTGTAAGTTTTAGTCTATTATTTATTGGAGGGAAAAGGAAAGTAAAGAAGAATTGCACTAACAATCAATTACTTCTGTGCATGACAGAACAAGACATCTGAAAGGAAAACACTGTACAACTTGATTTCTCTCCTGAAAAAGCTGGTGCGGGTTAGGTTATGTCTTTATTTCTACAGTATTTCAACTCAAGGTCATATCACGCTCTCTTGACTTTGGAGTGATGCAGTATCAAAAATAAGCACCACAGACTTTTAAGAAAAGCTTGAAATGAGATTGTTTCACACCTGTATGGCCCAACGTGGAGGCACCTGACAACAGTAGAAAACCTTCATGCGTTCAGATGCCGATGTACTCGCATTTTCAAACTGGTCTGCAAGTGCCTGTAAACACAAATTATATCCTGATTTAGTATTTACTTAGATTTAATCAACCTAAAAAAATCCCATAAATTCCAAGTATTACAAATTTTAGGCAATCTTTACATACTGGAGAAATTATAATCAAGATAACACTAAATGCCACTAAACTTACACCATAATATGCTACAAGCCTTTTTATTACCCCACGTAAGAAAATATAATAAACATTTATGTAAAAACCCTTTATCATAGGCAATAATAGATAAAAAAAACTTTGAAGATATTCCCATTTCAAAGTGGATGTAACGGGAATAGGAATCAAATTTACAATGTCAAACAAATATACTTGCAGAGTTAAACTGCATCATATATTAAAGTGACTTTGCCTAATGCATTTCAATCCTTTAGCTAGTTTTCCCCTACGATAAAATTGATGTACTTTAGGCATGACATTTCTTATTAAAAAGACAAACATATTATAGTGGACCATGGTTTTGGAAACACAATTCTAATACAGAATAAATTATTGTGACTTGGCATACAATTCAATTCAGGCTATTTATTTTTCTTTTGGTGGAGTTTTGGATTGCTGAAATGTTTTGTTCTGAAGCCCTTTGAAAGAGAATGGTAACTTTCACACAGCAAAACTGCACCACTAAGTTTTTCTCTGAAAACCCACTGTGAAGTGATGCCTTAAGGTCCATCTGGTTTTTTGATTTTTCTAATTTTTCTGAGTTTTATAAGAGGTTATATAGTAGAAGTAGATTTAGAAGCAGCAGCACTTATTCCCTTACCCTTAGCACATTCCCCAATGCTCTAACCCCGATTCCCCATATCAATGTCCCCTGATTTCCAGTAGAAATGTTTAGTCTCTCTTTAAGATAGGCCTCTTCGGTTTGAGGACATCTAATCCTGGCCTGAACCGCAAGAGTAGAGTCAAAAACTGGGTGAATGTGTGCCCCCTGTGCCCCGAAGAAGATGAAGATTGATGAAGAAGGCGTCTCAGAGACCCCAGCCCCAATTCCCAAGGGGCGTGACTGAGGGTGGACCAGGGCAAAAGCCAAAGGGTGGGAGAACCTCGGATTGGACAAGTAGTATTATAAATTGTAACATCGATAACAGAGGGGCACGTGCACATCTTGTAACTTTATGCCTAGGCACAAATTAAATCCTTTCCTTATCTCAGCTTCAAAATTAATTTGCCTTAGTTTTTTCTCCCTGAATTTTCTTTTAGGCATCAAAAGTTATTTAAATCAAAATTCAACAGCAAGAAAAATACAGTATTAAAGAAGGCTATAGCCAGAAAGTTGGTTGGAAATTTTAAGATAAGAGAGAAACTCTCTTCAAATGCCAGTCATCACTAAACTAGCAAATATAAGGCCAGAAGTATAAATAAAAGAATATTAAGCTACTTGCTTTCACATGATTCACTTACCAAAGAGTTGCTTATAACTCAGTCAAAGAATTATAGACGGAGCTAGACAGGTTGTCAGAATTTTCTCAGTTTTCTGTAAGTGAATGCAAAGATTCCCCAGCAAAAGGAAAAAATGTACAAGATCACTTCCCTCTCTCTCTTTCTCTTTCTAAATTCAACTGTTGGCTACCCAATCTATATTAATAATGCTAATGATAGCTGTATAAAATAAATTACATGATTTAAACTGCTAAGCATCTTGTAACTGCTATTGATGTTTATGGGATTTACTAAGTGGTTTCATTCTTTTAATGAGGAAAAAAATCAGAACACGCAGCAATAACCGAGGCTTTAAATCCATGCTTAACCTCCCAATTTTAAATACTAATATTTAAAATATTCAATCTTATTCACGTTCTTTTTCATAAAATTATCTCCAGAGGCCTATTCCTCAAGATTATCCAGAAACCTATGGCAAGAAAATGGCTAAGGTGTATTTGTAGTAAGAAAAAAGACAGACTAACAAAATCACATTCCTTTAAGCAGTTTCAGGCAATCCAAAAGGAGTTAGATTAAAATAAAACTTTTAAAGTAATATTATTTAATTACAGACTTCACTTGAATACAAACTACATAAAAATGATATTTGGCTGTTTTAGTTCTGCTGAAATGTTCTAGTGCTATGCAGAAGCACATTTTTCTACACTCTGTTGCAACAAAAATTAAACTGAAAAATCATCCAATTCCTTGGGGAATTATTTTATGAGACCAGACAAAGTAGTAAAACAAAGTTGAAAAATTCAAAAATAATAACCGCTCTAAGCCTCAGCATAGCCAGAAAATCCTAAATACATCCTGCAGAACAATTTTTTTGAGGAGACCAGGAGATGGAAGGCAAAAAATGTTTTAAGTCAATCAAAATGTTTTGTTCTTGTTTTAGCTTTTTGCCCCCTCTTTTAAATTTCTATTGTTGCAAAAGAAAAACTGAAATTCAAGGAAAAATTTTTTTTGAAAGCAACGTATTTTATTGGAAAATTTGTGGCCATACCTTTTTTACACTTCACAAGCAGAAAAGCCTTATGTAAGTGACATGCTGTAGGAGAATATGACTTAACAAGTAGAATTCTCCCTCTTCCCAAAACAAGTACTCTGTTCAGAGTTCTAACAAAAACTGAAAGTGTAGGTAGAATATATGAATATTATATATGCCTTAAAAAGAGTAAGTGGCAATGAATTTGGAAGCCATTAAAATCCATGGTTTATGCATTCTCTAATAGGTTAAAAAAAAAGCTCTGACAGTTCATCCTACTAATGAAATATAGAAAATAAGTTATTAAAAAATTGAATTCTATGTTTCCGAATATGCTTGAAGAGATAAAATTTGGGTTGTGTAGTGGTAAGAAAATGAGAATCCTAACATTATTGCACAGTTCATATCTAATCATAGAACAATAAATCAATACAATCAACAAGAGAGCACTGCCAAGTGAGCATTCTTTTTCATTAATAACCTTCAACATAAATACCATGTAATAAAAACCCTATGTAAATACAAAATACTTGCAACAGTCAGATGTAAGATTTTGTGCCTTAGTTTAACTTGAGACTCAAACTCCTGCCTTAAAAGTTGTTAAAAAGAAATAGAGCAGAAACTAACTAAAATTCACAACCCTAAATGATACATCAGTTCTTCCATATATAACATTTAAAAACATCTACCATGTCTCTATCCCACCATGTAACACACCCTCTTCCCAAGGCTTGAGCTATCACAGATAACGAATCCTTAAGTCAAAAATCACAGTAGAGAGATACAATTAATCCAGCCTGGAAACAACAAAACCAGATAGTTTTGATGGAATTTTATATTGTTAGCAAAGATCACATTATTGCCACATGAAGGCAGGAAAAGTCATTCTTGAAACTATAATTCCTTCTCCCCACCTCATACTCTGGCACAAGATTAAGCAGTACAATAGGTACTGCCTGTTTGGGATGTTAATTTGAAATTATCACATTAGCATTTTTATTACTTTACTAATCAACCTCAGTCTAATCATTTTCCTAATCAAACTCAGCTGGTTAAAGTTTATGATTAGAGTACATGAAGTTTGTAAAGGATTTTTCCCACTGCAGATGTCATTCCCATACATTCATTGCCATTGTACATCCTTGCTTTGCTTCTATGTTCAATGTACATGTAACATCACTAAGTGGTCCTGATGATAAAATATCAGCTTTGATTTTTGAGTCTGACTGAATTTCAGTCTCTTCATCCACTCCATTATCTTCAGTGGCTGACAGAGTTAGATCTTTTTTTCTTTTTAGCCAGTCCCTATCTCTGCATTTAATCTCTGAAAATACTATTATACCCTCAAGGTTTCTCAGAGTTGTCATTTTCTATGACATAATGCCATTTGATTTTTCAATCTACTTACAGTACAGCTTTTAAATTTGTTATTCATCCAACTGGTCTGAAGTCCCTCCCACAAGATTTTGTCCTGTTTGTTAAAATATAATTTTCATGTCCCTTTTGCATCTGAGGTAAATAAATGGCAGACTTTAACATCCTCCTTTCTATTTTTAATCTGTTTATTCCAGATGAAATAGTTTACTTATTTAAAAAATGCCCCTTACTATGTAAACCTGTAACTATATGCAAACATTTTTCCCATACATTTCTCTTGAAGGATCTCCTGATTCAAGCTTATTTAGGGAAAAATTCACCCCCAAACCAAACAAAAAAGCCCCAAATGCCTGTCTTTTGAAAAAAGCAAGATACTAATTACTTATCAAAAACTTCTTGGAAACAGCATAAGACCTTTTTGCTTGTGCAGCACCTATTTATTTCATCTGGACCTCTCACCTCAAAACCACCGAGGACAGGCCTACTCATATCCAAACCTAACATTGCTAACACTGGTGGCCCCAATAAAACATCTTCCTCAAAACAGTCTTGACTTATAGACCGCATTTTATTCATGCTATTTCAACTCACTTTCTCCCATTTTCATATCAGTAACACACTGCACCAATTTTCCCTTTACCTATGTTTTCCAGCAAGAACATTTCCAGTTTTTGTTTTCTAGTCACAAGTCTTCCATCACATTTCTCTCACCTGCACAACTGCTTATTTCACAGATAGTGTCAGTCATCATAGCTTGTTTATTTTGTTTTCCTGTCTTGTCCCACTGCTAAGCAGCTGTTTCCCACCAACCACACCCGATTTATAAATATTTTACTACTTTAGTACCTGATTACTTGCTATGCATTTACCAGTACCACTATCTCTACCCTTGTTAGCATATTATATTCCCTCATACCTTTTGATTTCTCCTGGTATACTTGACATTCCTCTTTATTTATGGTTTTATAGGCAGGATGATTAGACAAGTTTTTTCTAGTCTTCTGCTTCTCAGTCTAGAGATCTTATCAGCCTGCCAGAACCAATCCCTAGTTAATAGCTCTGGGACTGCAGTGGAGATCGTCCACCAAAGAGTCCTTTCTACATGAAAGCTCACAACAGCCATAAACCACAATGTTTCTCTATCACCTAATCTCAGCCAACATGGTGACTGTAGCATTATCTTGTTCTGCTCTTGTTTTC